TTGGCCTAATTTTCTTTCTAGTTTTCCTCCCATCTGGCAGACTGTACTGCATGTGCTTGTTCGTAGACCCTCCTTCCTGACTTGGGTGAGTTCTGATTTCTCACATTCTCCCTTATTCCCAGTTCCGCCTTTGTTTGTGAAATCCATTGCCCATTCCAGATTGCGAGTTTCCTGAAATTGCTCCGGTTTAGCCAAGTTCTTGAGGGCTCAAGCAGCTCTCTTCTGCCCCCTTCTGTCACAGATCTGCACGTGTACAGCCTGGCCCAGAAAACATGTCATTCAGTAGCAATTTATAAAGCACCAAGTACAGTCCTAGCGGCTTGTGATATATCAGCAAATGAAAGAGAAAAAAAATATTACTTGGATAGAGCTTCAAAAGCTTCACTTCACCTCAACCTGTTCTCACATTTCAAAGGGGTCACTCAGATTTTTGCATCATATGCCTTAAGAACCACTTTTACAAAGGAGCCATGTTTTGGAATGGGTTCTGACCATTCAGACTTTGATTCCAACTGGCTCATTCAATCAGATTTGGTAGAAGGAGTGCAAATTCTGCAACACTGCTGCTTCTTACAAAACATGTCACATAGCACATTCCGATTGTTAAGAAAACACATATAGTTGTTCCTCTGTGCCTGTGAATTTCACAGTACCCTTGGGTTCAAACAACTGCAGATTGAAAATGTTAAAAAAATGTTGTCTGTACTGAACATGTACAGATTTGTTTCTTGTAATTATACCTAAACAATAGAGTATAGCAATTATTTACAAAACACTTTCATTATATTGAGTATTATAAGTAATCTAGAGAGACAGAGGTAGAGGAGAGGCCGTGTATAGCTTATATGTACACACTACACCATTTTAGGTAAGAGACTTAAGCAGCTACAGATTTTGCCATCTCCTGGAGGTACAGATTTGGAACAAACCCCTGGAAGATACCAAGGGGCAACTGTATTTAAATTCATTATTTCTATTAAGAAATCCACATCTTGGGTCAGGTTGCCTAGAACAGCATCCGAGATCAGAATTTTAGTGCACATGATGTACTGAATGAATCCTCTCTGGGGAAAGTGCTGTGGGAAAGCAGGGAAGCACTACAGGGTGGAGAGGATGTTAAGAAGGCAAGTTCTCAGGTCAAGTCTAACCTTGATCTCATCCACAGCAAATCTCCAGAGTGTAAATCTTGGAGGTTTCCAACTCACAGGCCAGTGAGGGCAGTTTCCAGAGAAGGGACAGGAATGAACCAGCAGCCAGTGTAGAAGGTGGGGATGGATGTCGTAGGCAGGTACGTGTATCTGACTATGTCACCAGCTTTTCACAGTGACTCAGGCAAAGTGATCACTTTGGATTCCATGGAACTGCAAGTATGTGAACATACTGCTGGGCTGGAAGAAATTTCTTTGACCTCCTGAAGACATTTTTGGAGTATCTAATGAGTTCAGAAACTGTGATGGGATTGATATGGTGTGGTTTGTATTATTAGTTGTTATGTGGACCACAAAAGGAAATGCGCAGGCCACCGGGCGGGCAGAGGAAGCGTGAGACGGTGTCTGGCAGAGCCACAGATGGCACACCATGGAGTAGTGTAGGAGCAGTTTTCAGTCCTGGGGTCGGCTGAGAAGAGTCAGAGAAAGCTTTCTGAATGACAGGATATCCTGGTTGTTATAGTTTACAACTAAAATGTCCTCCAAATGTCTCATGTGCTTGGAAGGCGATCGGATCGTGGAAACTATATTCATCGGTGGATTGATCGACTGACAAGTTCAGTAGGAGCTCAGTGTGTGACTGGAGGTGGAGCCTAGTTGGGGGTGGGCCACTGGGTACATGACCTGTACGGGTGTGTTCTTGTCCTCAGCTTCTCCCTTCTTCCTGGTTGCCACAGATCAAACACCTTTTGCTCTGTCATAGCCCTTTGCCATCCTGTTTCTGTCTTAGAGCCAGCAGACCATGAACTGAAACTGTGAGCCCAAATAGACCAGTCATCCTTTGAGCTGTGGGTGTTGGCCCTCACGTCCCAGGGATGGGAAACGGCTGAGGCACCAGTCAGTCTAAGGCAGGGCCCTTCATAAAATTCTTCCCGTGATGCACAAATTCCCATAAACCGATGACTCCGTGGCTAAAATTTATTCACAAGTCTGGAGGTCAGAATTCTGAAATTGAAGCGCTGGTCAGTCCATCCAGTTTTTGTTGTCCAGGTTTTCACCAGCTTGGGGCTGCATTACTGCAATCAATGCCCCATCTTCCCGTGGCATTCTTTGCTTCTGCCTCAGAAAGTCACTTGTGCCTGAATGTGGGGCCCACCCTCATATGCTGGGGTGGTCTTAACTCAAAATCTTATCTCAATTCATTGTCAAAGATCCTCTTCCATGATGTCATACTTCATAGCTACAGGGTTTAGGATGTGGTCATCTCTGCATATCAGCCCATTACCTGTTAAATTATTTCTGATCCAAAACGAAAGGGGCACAGAGTGTAAGCTTCTATAATTAACTGTTATCTCACTGTTACCTCCTAAGCACGAACCCAAAATGTTACCGTTGCCAGGTTAAACCACCTATTAGGGTGAAAACTGGGAGGTAAAGATTTTAAACTTTCCAAACCCAAAGCTACTTGTTAACTCCTTTCTTATAAAATTGGGGCTACTTGCCCTACATTGGACCTTCCAGTGGAGGAGCCTCACAGTAACCCCAAGACAATTTCCCTGCAAGGACGATGACAGTGATACAAAATGGTCAACACAGGGTCACCCCAAGCCTTTTTATGCTTAATTCAATATCTGGTGAATCATTGCACTCCTCATTGGCAGTGATAGGTGGAGGTAGAGAACAGGAGAGACCGAGGGGGATGCAGAGAGCTACAGAGCTGGCCGTGATAGTAGGGAAAAGAGAAGACCGACTCTTGGCTTGGAGAAGACAGACTCGAAGCCCTAGGTGAGCAGGGCAAGATGCTGAATTCAGTGTTGACTGAACACATTGATTCTGAAGAGGCCGTAGTTCATCCAAGTGAAAGACTCATTAAACCGATGGCTGATAAGTTTCTGCCTTTTTAAAGACAGGGCATTGCTTTGTCAAAATGACTAGGGTTTCATTTTGTAAAACAAGTGTTAACACAAACGCTCTGCACAAAACTGTCCCTAAGTAGGATGGTCTCAGCAGTTTCCACTCCATGCTATGGTTTAATATGAATATTATCATTTTATACTTTAAGTATATTATCTGATCCTTAGTTTTTAGTTTAAAATCTCTCTCCTGCCCCCACTTTTTTCTATGTTCTTATAAATTTAGCCCTCAAAATAAGCAGTTTATTTGTAACCTGTTCTTTTCCCTTAATTCTCAAACTAGTGAAAAGATAAAAGGGATTATTACTGGTGTTTTTCATATGGGTGGGAAAGGCTTCCCTCCCAACCCCCCGTGGGAACAGTGACATAATTGTATCTGTGTGAAATTACAAGTAGGACAGACACTGATTTTCAGCTTTGCACTTCTTACTGCCTTTCTAATGACTCTGCTTTTCATGCCATTTTAGCAGATGAAGAATTTACTAATGTAGTACCTGTATCATAACAATCTCTAATCAAATAGGGCAAGGCCTTAATATTGTATTTTAATTTTTAGTATGTCTTTTAAAGATTTTATCTTTTTTATACTTTACACACTTTTATTTTTTTTATTTATTTGATACCGGGGATTGAACTCGGGTCCTTGCACTTGCAAGGCAGGCCACCGAACCGCTGAGCTAAAACCCTGGCCCTACACACTTTCATATTTTGGTTCAGATATTAAACATTATTATGATACATGTAAACAGACTTTAGTTTAACAATGCATAACAAAGTAGGAGGTAAGCATTGAATTTAGTGGAATCCTGGTTTGAGACGCAATATCACAAAGTGTATTCATTTAACTTTCTGTGGTAGCTGATTGAGCAACTGAAGGGAGTAAGACTTTATTGAGAGTTTGGGAAGAATCCGTTCAGCGAAGGGCCCGTCACTACTCAGTATATCTGATTCCTCCGTATAGTTACACACTAGAGGAGAAATCTGCTTCTGAAATTAGACATTGCAAATCAAACACAAGTCCCTGACAAGTTCCCGGGCCTGTTTGCTGTGAAATGCTTGAGTTATTTTCAAGAGACGGGTGATACCAATATGAATAACATTTCTTGAGTCGGAAAGACATGGCACTCTAAAATAATGCCGACTGGCTGTTCTCCTGGTAATTAATATCTAAGCTCACAGTAGAAGCAAGTAAATGATAGCAGTCATATACCCATGAAGGCAAGAGAGAGCCCTGTTTTTATTCCTAGATCGTAGACACATGTAAGTGTGAAAATTTTGTTTTGTGAAATTGAATTTATAAGGTAGGTAATAAAAAAATTGGAAAAATAGTATGTAAATGACATCCTGTTTCATATTATCCAGAGTAGGTAACAATGGGAGAAATTCCAATATTTCTGAAGTAATTCTTGTTTCTCTAGTAATATTCTAAATGCACATTTGGGAAAAGTTTAGTGTTCTAGGAATCTTCAACAGATTATATATGTATATGTGTATATATATATATATATATATTTATGCCATAGTATTTAATTGTTTACAATTAATATTGTACATAAAATACTTCTAAAACACACATTCTTTCAAAACATTCAGTCTTACAACTAGATTTCATATTGACATCTTCAAAGAGTAAATATGATCACACATAGCAATGGGGATTTAAAGCTATTAGGAAAAGTAGCATCCAGGCTAAAACTGTGATTGGATTTAACTGGGTTTTTAACTGTAGCAATTGTGTGAGAGGAAGATTTTGAAAATGATGAGGGTTAAATTACACTCATAAATAAAAACACCTTTGACAAAGTCTCAGAAATGACCGGATTTTAAGTTAAGATTTATATGCATTACAAGGTAAAAGAATTTTCCACTTCTTCTAACATGGCCGCACAGAGAGGCTGGTGATTCAGGAGGTTTTCCAAACTGTTCTAATTGGACTTACCAGTAAAGACGATGAGCCACCTGAATGCTCTGCAAGGAGCGGTGCAGGAGAAGTTCCACCAGAGGACTCTGCAGGCTCCACTCAAACTTGACAGCCTGCAATAGGAGACAATACTTTTCCTCTTGTTTCCTCAGGAACAAAATCTTAGAAGAACATAAAGGAACTAAAGAGCCCTGAGAAGAAACTATGGACAGTGGCAGTCAGGTTTCCATGAAAGGTGGATAATAGATTCAATGGCTTTACACTGGAGTCTAACTAGTAACACGCCGTACACACCTTATGCAGTTTGTTTGAGTTCTTACAGTCTTGTTTCCTTTCCTTACTTATATTTTAGGGTTAAAGGGTAGTAAGTAAGACCCACTGAATTCATCTATGCCCTGGAGGAGAACTGTCACAGGGAAAAATATCATGAGCAATATCCCTGGATGTAACAAATGGCATTATTGAGCAACAGATATCTCACCCATTTGGAGATGAAATTAATGTACACTCAAAGGACTAAGAGAAGTTGCCAACTGCAATACAGTATCAACCCACAGATTTCAAAGCCTTCTTTAAAGCTCCCAAGCCAACTGATGCCACCCTAACTCATTTTCAAAGTCCATGGTCTTCAATGAGAGCTACTCCAAGGTTTATACTTAGCTAGTAAGACACACAGCAATGGCAGCCCCTGGCATCCTCGGGGACCCAGTTCAGACCTGTGCATGCCCCACAGGGACTGCACTGTGACCAGTCTGTGTTGGGGTCTCCAGCTTACTCCCAGAAACCTAGTATGTGAAAATGAAAACCAGGTTCTCTTGGTATAAATGCTCAACCCAGTTTAAGAGGCAAAGTCCTATCTTCTTTAGTCACTCAAGTAGCCACTGAAGTCAATTTTTTGTCTGTGTCTGGTCTGTATCTGTGTCACACACACACACACTCAAGAGTTTTTAAGCTGTGTTTTTATGTCACAGGACAGATGGGGGGAAGTGGGTAGTCTTGCTCATTTACACACTTCTGAAGAAACATCTCAAGATGCTAACTCCCCTCAAGGGTGGGAAAGTTTATACATTCCTGAGTATGAGAATGCTGATGGTGATTTTGTGAAATTTGTACAAGCTCCTAAATGCTGACAGTGCAGAAAGCCCTTGATGAGTTGTCTCAGGCTGCGGTGGTGGGCATCTTTGCTCACTGGCTGGTGCCCACCTGACTCAATCTTGGGTTTTGTTTATATCCTAATTGTGAACATTTGAGATGGGACTGAAAAGTTCAGCGGGTGTTTAAATTTCTTACAGTAAAAACATACTATCTTTAATCCTCCTCACCTTGAATACACTTATCTCATAGTGCCTGTCACTTTCTGAAGCAATCCTGGAAGTCCTCTTTGGGGACTATCTTTAATTGTGATGTGGTGGCTACCTTGTCGTCCTGAATCAATTCAAAACATTTACCTTTCACGGTCCTTTTGATATGAGGGAAAAACCAGAAGTCCCATGGTGCTACACCAGGTGGGTGAGGCTGATAACACGCACCACAGTGTTTTCACCTGCCTTTTTATTGGCTGGCACGCTGCACCAGCGTTCGCCATATTTTCATCACATCTTGTAAAGACTTTTAGAAAAGAAGATGTCCAGAGCTGCTTGAGAAAGTGGTAAGAATGACGGGATCAGTGTGTTTGAAGCAAGGGGGAGGCTTTTTAGGAAGATTAACAGCAATGTGTCTTACTGTAATAAATACAAAGTTAAACACCATTTGTTGGTCAGCTCTTGTACAACATAGACATATGAACAGGATATGCCTCAAAATTTACTTCCATAATAGCTATTGTGAATTTTTTTCACTATTTCTTATTAAACACCACAGCTAGTGCTCTGGAGTTGCTTTCCTCGCTTATGAACCCCTTGTTTACTCTATAGTCTTCCCCTAAATCCTGCCTCACTCCGTAGTATGCAGTTAATTTCTGTGTGCACACTGCATTAACACGAACTCTATTCTCAGAACTTACTGGCATAGTTACAACCTGTGATTTATAGAAACTTTGCGTCTTCGTCTTATTTAATTCCTTGCAATGAACTACATTTTCTACTTTCATCAGGTTCTTAAGTGTTTCTCTTTACTGCTTTAATATAGCCTGCTTCATTCTAATACAATGATTCATAACAACAATAGTATGATTCTGGAAAATAATAAACAAGGTAGGATTTTTATGTGTTGGAAAGTTTTGAGGTCAGGGTGGAGCATGAAAGTCATTGCAAACTGTACAACAAATGTTGTTAAAATCCTCCCACCAATTTTTATTTATTTCTGACTCACCCTGTGCATTTCTTTCCATCTTAGAGTATGTTAAAATCTTTACTTTTATTTAATCACAGTTTTATTTAATTTTTGCCTTCTGTGTATTTGCTATGTTATATTCTATGTACTTTCTCATGAATTTGGATTTGTAGGAATATGGCTCTCAAATTATTCGTATTTTTTCCGTTTAAATAAAAAGTAGTTTTAATTTTTTTCTCTTTTGGCCTTTATACACCTTTTTGTTAATGTACCAGTTTATGCTAGGGAATGTCTGTAACCTTCACATTGACATACAAACTATAATTTAGTTCTTTGGCTGGCTAAAAAGACCACTCTGAGGTAGGCTGTTATAGATGCATTGAGAACTTGTACAGTCATTAATTAAAGTAGTGGAACCCTTTGGCAACCTTGAAGCTCTTACCTGAACGAGCTGTGGGAGATACTCCAATAGTTCATCGCTCAAGAGGTTGTCCAATTGTTGAACAGCCACTTTCCGAATTTCTTGATCTGGAAAGCTGATATACAGTAAATATGTCTAAAAAGTTGGTAGTAGCAAGGGATGATACATATCAGGGTGAACAAAGACGGAATTCCACATCCATGACATAGGGTAAGGTAAAAATCCATAACCAATTAGAATAATCATTTGCACTAAGCAATTTTTTTTCTTTTTTCAAATTGTATATTTTCCTGTGGTCTGCAGTAGAAAGCCATTTCCGCTAGACTTTAGAAAGGTGGGTTTCAGATCCTCACCTGCTTTGTTATCTATAAGATGGGGATTATGGGATATTTAAAATCTTTTCTAAAACATGGAGGTCTTTATTTTCTATTTAGCCCAGCATTTGTTAAATAATTACCAGCTGGAGATCTGATAGTTTGTGATTAAAAAGGGAACCAAATATTTTAAAACTGATTTTGACCAGAGCTTAATGAACACCAGAAATCCGAAGTACTTTGCAATAAATAAGTGAACATCATTGGCTAAGGATAAAGGTCACTAGACTGAAGTTCTTGAGGTTAACCATGCCTTACTCATTTTGGGATTGCGTGTTCCCGTTTTAGGACTTAGCACTCATTAGACACTTAATAGATGCCTGTTACTGAATGAAGTCTGTGATGGTATTTAGCATTTGAAACCATATTCCAAAGACAATTTTATTCTCCTCCCATCACCATCATCTTGTTCCATCAGAAGATTAAATCCAGTTATCTCAAAGTTCCCGGGAAGGGTTTGGACATAACTTTGGCATCATGCCGAGATAATTTTGAGATGATTTTGACCTCCTGCTTTGACATGATTAGATATAAGTAGGGCTTTGGCAAGAACTATTAATTTTAAATCAACAAATTTTTTTTAGCAAAAACTCATTAGGTATAATTAAAAATGAATAAACTACTGATAGCAACTTACTTAAAGCATGTGAATGAATAAACAAATAAACAAAACCTTAAATTCCTTTTGTAGGGAAGTCAGGTGAGGGCATTGAAGATTGTCTCTCAGTACTGGGGAAGATGGAGAACTTTAAAGTCTGTAATGTACAGTTGCTTTTTCGGATATTAGGTTACTGAAGGGTGAAATGAATACTATGCAGCCACAGAGTCAAGTGAAAAATGGTATTAGTATTCCTCAGCTGTCCTTGAAAATAGCTTGAAATGTAATGCTAAACAAGAATTTTTTTTTTCTTCAGTTAAACTGGGCATTTTAATTGCAGGAAAATTTCACTTTTTAGGTTAGTCAGTTAAAACTCTTATTTCTGACCTGCAAATCATTTTCTAAATACACATTTTCTCCCTTTGAGCACCCTAGCAACAAGACCGAGCGAGAGCTGTAGTCCAGTCACATCTTGGGAAGTGCAGTTAAGGTCAGAAGATCTCAGCCTAACATCATACCCGGACAGAGAGCAGAAGGGTGCAATCAAGATGCAAAGCCAGAAGATGTCAGCTTATTTTAGCACATTAAGACCAGATTCTCCTAACCAAATGCAGTCGATTCTAATGTATTGCTCTATATTACTAAACCATTTGTCTGAAGCTTGTAGACGTCAAGGTCAGTCTGAGGGCAGTGTGAAGCCTTAGAGGGAATAGCGAGTTGGTCTCCTTGTTGCCTATGTGATGACTTGTTAAGTTGGATATTAGTCACTCATGATTTCTTGTGTAGCTATTTAACCTTGTTATATGGTGAGAAAAAAAGAAAGAATAACAGGAAATGAGTATGACAACAAAACAAAACTCCATGGTAAACACTATACTTCTAATTATTTCCATACGTTAGATTATAAAAGCCATGAAATAGGAATTTTTTTCATCTGTTTTATTCCTAATGTGTTCCCAGCGCCTCTAGATTTGTGGCATAATCAGCCTTGGAGAATTTATGTTTAACCTGCTTTTTCATGGGCTCTGAACTCGGGTACAGATCAGTGGATAAATATGTTCACCGATTGCTGGCATTTCTTCCTGGTGACCTCTGAAACTATTTAGACATTCTTTTAGGATGTAGTTGTTGGCATTTCATGGTCAGTAGCTTGTTCCTCCATGAGGTAAGGGTTACCCATATTAGTTCTCTGACTTTGGTGTAATATTTGCAGGTCCAAATTTAATAGAAGACTTGCATCCTGTGTGAAATTTCCACAAACCAGTTACCATGTTTCCCACTGATTTGATTTGTTTAAAAAGTACCCATATAATTCCCACCACTCATAAACCAGGAGACTCTCCCTACCAATTCTACTAACTTTGGGACCGTGAATCATTTTAGGAGTGGATATTATGTTATGAATCTTGGGAAGAAGCAAAAGTACTGTTGGAAGATTCATCAGGATGATGTCAATTAGATCCTGACTTAGATATTTATAAGAAACCTCCTTACACTCAATCAGAAGATATTTTGTTGCAATGTCATAAGTGGTTTCAGATATGAAAATGATCAGGTTACTGAAATGCTATTATTTGTTGGACAGATCATGTAAGATGAAGGAAATTTTCACCTATAAAATGTATTTTTTTTAAAAAGTAGGCTTAACAAGAGTATACGTGCGATAATAATTCCAATTAAGTTATTCATCATTTTATGAATGCTCATGTCAGCAATACAGATTCTCAAGCCTGTCTGAAGACTGGGGAAGAAGCAAAATATCACTCTGGCTTATGTGGCCTCTGAATTGAGGTGCCACTTGATCTCTGGGATCTGCTAAATGAAAGGATCTCGGTAGCTGACATATATGTGACATAATATATCCTGTGGTATAATCATTAAAGAATTACCTAAAACTCGAACACAGTCCATTGTCTGGTGAGAATATTGAGAGACAAAAGAAAAAGATTTCTTGAAGACTGAGGCTTTCATCACTGATAGAATTTAAAACGTGACTAAAATCTCAAAAGGTGAAAATATCAAGTACAGTTAAAGCAGTGTCAAGAGATACATTTTTCAAAAGACTTTCAATAAAACAGCAATACCATCTCTTTCCAATAATGTAGAGTAAATGCAAGCTTTTGGGTCAAGCAGAGGATCAGTTTGAAATGGCAACCCCTAGCTGTACAAGGTAGAATACAAACCAAGTGTTCAGATAACTGGCTCTAGTGCAGGCCATAGCCGACCAGTAGCCAGGACTTACTGCGTGACAGTGGTTTTTAAACTTTTAAAAATTGTTGAAAATTCCAAAGCATTTTGATTATATGGGTTACATCTACCATTAATTGTCATAATAGAAATAAAGCCAAGATATTTAACAAGTATTAGTTCATTCAAAATAACATTAATAAACCCATTTCATGCTGACCAAAATACTATGAAAACATACCATGAAAAATAGTCATATTTTCAAAAACAAAGAGAATATTTAGGGACAAGTCATATTGTTTTACATTTTTGCACATCTTTTCAATGTCTCACTCAATAGGAAAGACTAAATTTTCTTATCGGCTTCAACATTAAATCTATTGCAATAGCGCAAGTCACGTAACTTTGGAAAACTCTACAACTATGATCAAATGAGTGTGATAAAGGCAAATAATATCTTTAAATTATTACAGAATAATTTTTTGGCTTGGTGACATCCCTGTAGACATTTTGGGAACTTCAAACCTCACCTTGAGAACCTGAGAAGTGCAACCCTGTTTTGTATGTTTCTCTACTGGGGGTCACAGCCAAGAATCCACACTGGTCAGTTCCTAAGATAGCAGAGTATCAACTGATGTTTCCCTGGGTACAGACTAGCTTGGAAGTTATCTGACCAACAATTTCATTTGCAAGCTGCCATTTATTTTCTCTTTTCAAGCCTTTACAATTCCTCTTGTCTCAGAGGGCTACAGAAATACTACAAAGATTCAGGAAAATTTCAACAGGGCCAGCGGTGTCATGAAATGAAATTTCAACAGAAAAATATGTTTCAACTTCTTCCAGCTGACTTTTTTTTTGTGATTTCTTTTCCTTTCTTATTTTCTGCCTATATCATTAGTTTTCTATTTTGTTCCTCTTTTTTCTAGTTTGAAAATTATATAGGAGCAATATTTTATCCAAAGAACTTTGGAAGTGATAGGTGAAAGCTAAATGCGATGTAACAAATGTCGACCTTTAGAAAAAGCAACTTTGAGTAAACTGAAAAGGGAAGAAAGAAATTTGAGATCAAATTTAAGCATAATAGAAATGTCAGCCTTCAGAATACAAAGCAAGAATTCATGCAGAATGCCACAAGGCTATTCACAGTTAAAAGCCCCAATGTCAGGTTAGAATTAGAAAACCATTAGAACTGCAGAACTGTTTCTCCTATAGGTTTTGAGTCTGATGACACACAGCATCAGTTAGAAGAAAAATGGCAATATGAATATCATTGTTATGTTTCCAGTACTAAAAATAATCAGATGTGACAGAAGAAATTTTTATCCAAGCAAAATGATAAATAAGGATTCTTTAAGATGATTGTGAATTCCTACTGAATAATTGGTGTTCTTTCAAGGATTTTTACATAGTTATAGAATATTAGAACCCAAGGGAATTTGGGGACTTAGTCCAGACTTCATATTAGATATGTAAAGAATCTGAAACTCAGAAAGTTTAAGGAGTTTTTCCAAGGCTTTTGTGGCACTAAACTGAGAATCCACATTATGCAGGGGTTTAGGTCCTTGTGATATTTTGACTGGATTTTATTGTGCTATTTATATAAAATCACAAGACAGGGTTGCGTGTATTATTTATGTATCACATTATAAATTGATCAATGGAGACATATAATACTGAAGTGAGTAACTTGTCTAACTGGACTAGGGTATTGTCCTAGTCATGGACCAAAAGAACTAATAATTCCAGACTCGAAGAAAAATAAAACCTGTACATATGTTTCCTGATGAATTGTTTATGGATGGCCATATAGAAATTTGGAATTAACCCAATAGTCATGGCATTAATTAATCAAAATGGCTACTGATAAAGAATAGTCCTTGATTTTGTTCTTTTATGATTACACTCTGATTCTACTTATAGATTAGCTTAAAAAGTCACTGACATAAAGAAAGTTGT